TTTTTACTAGTAAAACGTTGTCTCTCAGCTTATATATAACTGTTAGATTTGTGGATACTACTATATATAACTGTTAGACTTGTAGATACTACTATTTATAACTGTTAAACTTGTAGCTACTACTATATATAACTGTTAGACTTGTGGATTCATGCAAGATGTTTATGTGTTTACGTTATCCATTCAATCATCATAAGCCATATATTAAAAAATTCTAGCCAACCAGTAATTATTAGCGGGATTTGTTTCTTATATATCCTGTTATTGAGGTAGAGTTGATGTGTAGTCATAATGTGAAACTGTAAAACGTTCTGTTTGTTATGGATAAGAACTGGTTTGTATTTTATCATCACTTCTCTAAAGCGACTCGTTACAAAACATCTCACCTTCTTTATTAGTGTTCATGTTTTAGTAATGACATAATTATTGTTCTCTCACTGAATTGTGATCGATAAGTTGTGCTGTCGCACGTTAGAGCAGAGCTATAATAAAGAACATTTAAAACTTTTGTAAGAAAACTCAAGAGAGGTAAGTAATGTATTCTAAAGTGCATCTAGCTCGTTTTCAAATTAACATTATAAATATCAAAATATATAAACAAATCGAGCAATAAATTTGAATTATTATCGAGGTTTCTTTTCAACTTTATTCATACAGCCCTTGTTCATTCTGTGGCATTGTAATAATTTCACGATTAAAATACAGTAATTCAGCTTTATTGATTAGAGAAAAACTGACGCCCACCTGTTACTGTTATCATTGCAGTTTTGGATCTAATCCCTTTGACGCCCTCGGCGGCTCCGACCTGACACTGAAACTCGGCATCGTCATCTAGCTGAGCGTTAATAATTTGCAGAGAGAAGTCTCCTGAAAGATACAACGTGAGTGTTAAAAATATAACTGTTAAATTCACACTTTGCAGGGAGAACCACTATGAAAGTAAATGTGTGTGTTGAGCATTTAAGTGAACATTTAAAATCTACAGGGAAAACTCTTAAAAAAACATAATGTTTGTGTTAAAAATCTAACTCGGCCTTCAGAGACTAAAGAAAGAACTCTCCAACGTAAGTATTACATTCAAAATGAAGAGGTTTTATGTATAATAAATATATATATATTAATTTCTTGTTCTCCTACGCTACATTGCAATATGCTGGAGAAGGAGTATTCAAGGTGATTTAATTTTTACAGTTTGTTCATGGTGCAAATAATGACTTTCTAAACATCACCGTAATGTTTTTTTACATATTTGTATAACATTTGTGGGGTCGAATATTTGTTGATTTATAGATTTAGTTTTTATAAGTCTAATAAGCAGTTTTATCAACTTACTTAGTAATACATCCTCAGTCTTGATTTGACACAAACCTCAGATATGATGTTATTAAAAACATAAAAAGTGTATCATACATACAAAGCTCAGTTATTCATGTTTGTATACATTTAACAGATCTTTACGTAAACAAAACAGTAATATGATTTTTTTGTTACTAGCCTTCCTCATCATTTCCAACCATAGTATATCGAGGAAATCCTATCAGTTCCCGATCCGAACCGAGCCCGAACCCTTCTCGTGTCCACTGTAACATTCCAACTTTATTCTCAACTCGACACGGTAGAAGCACGTCTTCTCCTAGAATGACGGTCTTGTCTTCGGGCCCTCGTATAAACTTCTGTTGGACGGAATCTGTAATTCGCATTTTATAGCTTCAAACTTTTAGAGAATGTATGGAAAAACATATGTACACGCTGCTAAAAAACGAAGACAAATTTTATAGATAGGATGCCAGAAGTACATCGTTAAATTTTCGGAGCATCAAGCTATGAATAGCTAAAACATACAAACCTTTACTGTTCAACGACAGAATAGAAATCTTTACTGTTCGTGGTCTGAAATATAAATCTCTACTTCACATGACAAAAACACAAAACATTACTGTTCATGACCAGAAAATAAACTTTACTGCTCATGACCCCAAAAAACTTATTGTCAATGACTAAGACAAGTAGTTTTAATGATATTGGAGAACAGTGAAACTTATGAAACATCAAGGAATGAATATTATATAGAGTTAACACATATAAATCATAAGGAAACTATAGAGTACAATCAAAAGATTGTAATTAGTAAACAAAAGGGCAAAAATAAAAGATATTACAAACTGAAAGTAAATATCCAATACATCAGTCTCAATTTAGGATAGACAAATTATAGATTAATGGTTGTCCACATTATGTAAAACAATTTTAGTTTAAAGGTTGGTAATATGTATGGTGGTTAATTAATGATAAACTTAAGGTCTGGAGACGCAGTTGTAATAATGTTAAACTTTATAATGCTGTGTTATGACACGTGATTTCACCATGTAATTGTATCGCTCAGTGAGTGACAAGTTTTTACTAGGTAAAGGCCAGTTCTACTCAATCCCCTAATTGGGAAGAATACCTAAGTGACAGGGTTTTGTTAGGTAAAGACCAGTTCTATTCGATACCCCTAGGTGGATGGAATAACTAGGCGACAGGATTTTACTAGGTACAGACCAGTTCAACCCAAACCCATAAGAAGGTAGAACTACTATATATAACTGTTAAACTAGTGGATACTACTATATATATAACTGTTAAACTTGTTATTACTATTGTTATTACTATATATATAACTGTTAAACGTGTTATTACTATATATAACTGTTAGACTTGTGGATACTACTATATATAACTGTTAAACTAGTTATTACTATATATAACTGTTAGACTTGTTATTACTATATATAACTGTTAGACTTGTGGATTACTATATATAACTGTTAGACTTGTGGATACTACTATATATAACTGTTAGACTTGTGGATACTACTATATATAACTGTTAAACTTGTAGCTACTACTATATATAACTGTTAAACTACTGGATATTACTATATATAAGTGTTAAACTAGTGGATATTACTATATATAAGTGTTAGACTTGTGGATACTGCTATATATATAAAACTGTTAGACTTGTGGATACTGCTATATATATAACTGTTAGACTTGTGGATACTGCTATATATAACTGTTAAACTTGTAGCTACTACTATATATAACTGTTAAACTAGTGGATACTACTATATATAACTGTTAAACTAGTTATTACTATATATAACTGTTAAACTAGTGGATACTACTATATATATAACTGTTAAACTTGTTATTACTATATATATAACTGTTAAACTTGTTAGGTTTAACAGTTATATATAGTAGTATCCACAAGTTTAACAGTTATATATAGTAATAACAAGTTTAACAGTTATATCTAGTAATAACAAGTCTAACAGTTATGTATAGTAATAACAACAGTTATATATAGTAATAACAAGTTTGA